TATTTAAGAAAGTAATACCATAGTTGCCTCGAAATCCTTTGTCTCGCGAGGTACGATTAATCACTAATTTACCTCGTTACCCATGCATACGCTTTTGTCTTCTAAATTTCCCTCATCAAGCATGCAAGGGAAAATTAGAAGACCAGGGTTGGTAAGTTAGATGAATAATTAGGCCAAATCGTCATTAGTGCCGTTTAGAAAACAAAGAATACAAAAGGCCAAGACAAAGAAAACAAAGGCCTAGTGTGATGATGTTTGGCCTAATTATTCAGCAAACCTACCAACCCTGTAGAAGACAAAGAAATCCTTTGTTTTCAACTAAATTTCCCCAGTTGAAAACAAAGGATTTCTTTGTCTTCTAATTTTCCCCTGCATGCTTGATGAGGGAAATTTAGAAGACAAAAACGTACCTCATTACCTCTGATTGGAGAGCTGTACCTCATCGAAAATTATCGCACAACTATGGACAGTATCTGACCAGAGGAGGAATGAGGGTCTTCCCGAAATGCAACGCGGGAATCAGTGCGGCTCATTATTATTCAAGCTATTTATTCTCAACGCGCCGTTCGATTAAAAACTGTTGAAATATATTGCGATTTTTGCCGTGAAGATCTCGTTTTCTCAAAGGTATGTTTCGATAACCTTTTTGTTTACTTATTTAATAAAAGAAGTTTTGACTAATTTTGTATATATATTGCATTTTACTTATGTTAAATTCTCATTGTATTTATGCATGTTTTGGGTGTTGGAAAAGTGGCCTTGAAATATTCTGGAGTAAATTGTACTTTTTTACAAGGAAACTAAAATAAAATTACATCAGTGAATTTAGGAATGTTTACTCTTTATATTGATACTTTAAAACATGAATTTACTCCATAAAACCGAAGAGTTATCGCGGTTTGAAAATGAGCTATTTTTGCTAATTATCGAATATTGCAAAAATATCTCATTTTCAAACCGCGAATTTATTCCCTAATCTTGAACATTACAATTGTGGGAGAAAATTCCGTTTATGCGCATGCCTAAAACGAATGAACACGGAGATGTGTTTCTGCGCGTGCGTATATATGGAAAGTGTTCGTACCACAATCATAAGACAATCAAACAGCATTCAAAACAGGCAACACACCACGCCCGATTCCCTCGGCAACTATGATATTGCAAAGTAATAGCATGGCATTACGGTCGATTAGTGATGAAATGTCCCTCAAGCCTCGAGAGGTTTAGTAGAAGTCCCGAGGCGCTAAACCTCTCTCGGCTTTCGGGTACATTTAATCACTAATCGCCCTGAATGCCATACTATTACTTATAATAAATGAATAATTACAATCCCACGGGAGATTTAGACGTCGTCCACGGTCTGTTTCACAACCGGTAAACCAGGGCATTTCATGTCCTGTGTACAATTTACAAGTACTATTTTAGTACGTAAGAAGTGGATACTCAGCAAATTGGTTCAGTCCCAATGTGGAATTCTACTCAATAAAAAGCCTCTGTTTTGATCTCTTCAAGCTGTGATAAATTCATATACAATTGATAATATACGATAAGCTTTCTTCACAATAATTTATTTGAATGAATCTGTTTTGGCCGTTGCATGTCGTCGCTTTGCCGTCCTACATCTTAAGGTCTCTATTATACATGATAGTACAACTGCAATTTATCTGACGCAGAACTTCATTAATTGGATGCACAGTGGAATCTCCGAATTGGCTTATTATAGACTACAAAACATACACCAAGATTTTCTATCTACAAATTAAAACCTTCTACAATTAATTACAACAAGCGTAGATCCCAAAATCCTAAAATCAAAATATAATCTTGAAATGTCTGTGCCTGCAGTATAGGTAGTGCCAATAATATTAACAAGTTTTCGTTGGCAGGGATGCAACTACCTGAAAAATATGAGGATTCAGGTAGTTGCATCGCTTCCGCAACGAAAGCTTGTTCATAAAATTAAAATAGGTATAGCTGATTTCACGGAAGCGAGCGTTTTTCTCCTTCTTAATCCTCTTTACTGACGGTAGGTAGGATAATAGAAGTTTGAGAGGTTCAGATTTGGTTCCAGTTTGTGTGCACTTGATTGGTTAATCAAATATATCAAACGCATCTGATTGGTTAATCAAATATATCAAACGCATCTGATTGGTTAATCAAATATATCAAACGCATCTGATTGGTTAATGCTTCCCTAATGGCAGCGATAGTGGAAATCAAATCTGAACCTTCCCATCTATGCAAAATATTCTGCATTTTTGCATATAATAAGACGCATGCTCAGGTGTGACTTCGGCTACTTAGCAACACCTGATCGGACAGACTTGTTACCGAACTGGATCGTTATACTGCGCATTCAGGTAGACCGTTTAATGCGAATAGTTGTCGCGTTAGTTTTAACAGTTGTACGATGACGTTTCCTGGCAGATTTTCGACGTTTCTAAGGCGTGGCTTCAACGTTTATTTTTAAAATTTGAACGTTGTAATTTCAAGGTAATTGCTAAATAGTATACTTCAAAATAAGGTTTCCGTTTTTAAAACGTAGAAAAAATCATCCTAACGCAAAACTAAACCTAACCTAACCCTAACTTATTTAAAAAATTGATATAAAAACGGAAACCTTATTTTGAAGTTAATGAAGTATACTATTTCGCAATTACCTTGAAATTACAACGTTCAAATTTTAAAAATAAACGTTCAAGCCACGCCTTAGAAACGTCGAAAATCTGCCTTGAAACGTCATCGTGCAACTGTTAAAACTAACGCGACAACTATTCGCATTAAACGGTCTACCTGAATCCGCAGTATTAAAAACTGGATTATTACATTAAATATATGGGGCCTACACTGTAAATTTTAAGGAGTTGAATCAGGTCCAAAAGAGTTATTCTGTCACGAAAAACGGTGACAGAATGACACTTTTAGAGTTGATTCAACTCCTTAAAATTTACAGTGTAATCTTCGGTTTTGATCGTTCATCCCATCCGCATGGTATGCATATTATACACGGGTGTGTGAGCCAGCGAAGGAAGTGCGAAATTGTCCTCCATTATGTGATGGACGGTTTTCGACATTATATGCATGCGCGAGTACAAGCTCGTGCTAAAAAAGATTGTTTTTCATTTTGCAAAGATGTAGCTAGTCTGCTTTTGTACAATAGATTTTTGCGAGGTTTTCAGTCGCTTTTAACTGGAAACAAGCCTGCCGTTTCATGGATTAGTGGCTGTTAACCGTGAGACAAAGCGGTGAAAGTCATAAACACGAGTTCAATCGTTATCTTGGCTATGTTTTGGTATAAAGTGATTAACATTTCAGTGTTAAAATTGCATACCGTACGTACTTGCTTTGTGGTTCGATTTCGTTCATATCTGCGAAATGTTTAGGTTATTCTGTTTAGCTCAATACTAAATAATGTGTTTTTATGCAAGCTGGTATTTACATGAAATTGTAGTGAATATTTAATTATTGCTCATTTGGGACAATTAATACAGCGCATCGTATTTTTATGTGAGCTTATAGTGGTCTTTCCTACAGCAAATGTTGCTTGACCAAAACAAAACTGAAAACATAGCTTCTGCCTATGAAGCGAATATAGGTAACGTATGTTCGACAAAACGAGCTTTGCAGTTTCCTGTGCACCTTCACGGCAAAGTTTCGAAACGTTTTACCGTTTTATTTAACATTAAATTTTAGCAGGGACGCTGGAACGATGTGGAGGCAAGGGGGGCAGATTTTCGTGAAAGGGCACTTCTGAATTGATATATACTAAAACATGTTTGCAAAACACGATCGGGAGTTGAACTTCGCCTAATCATGTTTTCTATTTATTGGATGATAGGGGTGTGAGGGGGTTCTCTGCTAGGCGATTGTGCTATTCTTGAAGCTCGATGACTGCATTTCTTGCGTTTTCTGAAGCAAATTCGTAAAAGAATTGCACTAACATTTCTGACAATTCGCTATTTCGACAAGGCAATCAGTTTAAATTGAAAGGGCACCTTTGCCCCCCTTTGCCCCTCCTGGTAAAGGGCAACAAGCGGCGGCTGCCCCTCCTGCCCCCCAGTTCCGGCGTCCCTGAATTTTAGTCTATTTTAGTATAATAATTGAAAGCATAACGTGAAACTACATTCCAGATTTTGAGAGTCAATTATTCTTTAGTTTAAAAAATTATCTCTTTCATTATTTTCTCATATTATTTTCACGTTACCATGGGGATCACTATTATTTCAAACATAAAATACTTCATGTAGAATTTCTATACTTCATCTGTTAATTAAGAAAGGCGAGGGGGATCGAGTTATGTCAAGTAATTTTTGTAAATTTGTGGGAAATGGCTCAACCTCGGCCCAATGGTTGCCCCTCCTCCCCCCCCCCCTCATCCCCGAACATGACGAATTTTAGTTCGTAAATTATTGTGACGTCACGCGCAATACTCGTGACTCGAATTTTTAAACTCAAAAAGTCTAATTATAATCTGAGATTAATATGTCAAAGGCTATTCTGACTTAATTATACACGTACTAAAAGAACTTTTCATCAATAATTATGTGTCGACAAATATTCGGTTTACATGGTTTACTTAAGTTAAGACATATATTCGTACAGGTAATCCCTCAACATTGTTCAATTTGCATCGGAAAAATGAAATTCCGCCCTTTACAGGCTTTACAGTCCAATTTCCTTATTCGCTTTCACTTCCTTATTGACTTTATGAAACGCTTGATTCACAAACTAAAAGAGAAATACACGACATAACGTTCGTTGATTGGTTAATTTCAAGGGCAATCGATAGTAAAATTGATGCATGTTATCACAGCCTGGGTCAAATTGCATTTTCAGGATCACTCAGATGTATACTGAATCATTACCCGCTGGGAAGCTCCTGCTATGCCAAACTACAGCTGCTTAATTGAAATTTATTAAAACCTCTCACTTCACTTTTGTCTACATCAGGAACATAATAACAAAGTACCGTGCTGACTTATTTACCGAGTTGCGGCATTATGCTCAGAAACATTGCAGTTAGCACGATTGTAGTCATCCTTATTCCGCTTGTCACCGGTAAGATTGATAAATTTAATATTTTAATTATAACAAATTTCGTCCTTTTATATTAACTGTAATATAAATCTACTTAATTTTAAGTCTAACCAATGTTAATATAATTGTGCAATGTAGAAAGTAATGAATTTAATGAAAAACTACAATCCCATGCCTAGGATGAATAACAGGAATTTCTGTTTGTCACCTGATCGCAATCTAGTTTTGCTCATCAAATTATTTAGCTCATAACATTGGTTAAGATGTCCCTATGTAATTTGTGCTTCACGGCCTTTACCACTAGGCTGTAATATAGAGCTAAGTCTGAAAACTTCTTGTAACAAATGTAATACTGCAGTCTTAAAATTGATCATTACGACAGATATTACTATTAGGACCAATAACGGAATATTTTATTTTCGCTAGTGTTTCGAGCTCAGCATATAGATGATAACCCCAAATTATTTATCTGATTCTCTCATGCGTGCATCCGTGTATAAAGTCACTGTAAGATGTCTGATGTAAAGCATGTAATTTTTACTTGCAGACTTATACAGTCTGTAATATGAATTGACTTCAGTCTAAATCTAGACACTTCATTTAATAAACGCGAAATTCCTTTGCCCTGGTTTTGGTATTTGGATGATTTATCTAGATCGAGATCAAGCTAACAGGAATGCTGTATCGCTCATGCATGTTTCCTTGTGCATCATGCACTGAAATATATATAGATCAACTTAAGTCTTAACTCTTCGGTCTAAGTTTCAGCAATATTATTCATCACCTGAAGTTTGTTCGTTCTCGGCAATTAGGTCTAATATCAGTCGTGTTTCCGCTTGTTATACTGTAATCTGTATATACACTAATTTTTAAAGTAAATTCATGCAAATCGCTTGTTATACTGTAATCTGTATATACACTAATTTTTAAAGTAAATTCATGCAAAGGGTTTTACGTTCATGTACTTAAAATCCGGAGGTGACTCATGCATATCATTTGACAAACTTATGCAGTCTTTTAGGTATAGTTCTGGCGGTTCCCTTGGCGGTTCCTATAGCCATAGTACTATACTATAGCATCAATAACGACTATAACGGAAAATGTCTTTGCGCTGGCTTTGGTATTTGAATACTGTAGCTTCACTGGATCATTGGATTGGATCCAATGATTTGGCTGATTCGCTTATATATACTGTATGTCTCGTTATTAAGAGGTAGGAAATGCTAATATAGCTAGCTACATCTTTTGCTGCCTTATCGTAAATTAAGACAATACATGTATAGCTTTGGCTTTATTGACTGTTCTGTTCTCACGTTCATATAAACAATCATTAATTGTAGCTTTGAAGTTGTGCTCGACTCGAGTCACTGCAGAGTAAATTCCTGAGCGCCGCTTTCATGACAGCTAAAGACATCATAAACTAGTTTCGTATTACAACGAAAGTATCCAAAGAAAAATTCAGCGTTGACTCAAGCGCGATTCGAACTGTTTGGGTTAGTATATAGACCGCCGCTCTGCCCATTGAGGGCTATTGAGTCAACTAGGGGCTATATCGAGTATCGCGTCGGCGATAGCCCTCAATTCATAAAATATGTTCGTAATATAAGTCGTTACGAAATATGTTCGGCCACTTTGTTACTTTAATAGCCTGCGTAGCTGCATGGCGGTTTTAAGGGTTGAATTACCTAATATTCGCTGCCCGCGCCTCAACCCCAACCCCTTAAAACCGTCAGCTACGCAGGCTAAGCAACAAAGCAAGCATATATATATATATATATATATATATATATATATATATATATATATATATATATATATATATATATATATATATATATATATATATATATATATATATATATATATATATGCACCAGTATTGGTAGCTCTGTTTGAATAAAGTTTGTTTCTCAATACATGCACCCTTTCAAAAATTTCGTCATTTGGCCTGGGAGCCTCGCTCTCATGAATCATGAGCCAATCAATCACCTTGCGTAATTTACTAATGAAAGTGATGCTCCAAGAACAAAAAGTATGTGTGAAGTATAAACTATCGAAAGGGTATATTAAATGAACACAGTTATCGAAAATTTGGAGCGCTGCAATTAACTTTCAATTAATAAAGGAAATAATCACAAAAACAAAACGCTATATAAAATATGCAAAGCTTTTAGTTTAAGTGCTTTACAATACCTCTTGACCATTTTCGTGCTCTGTACGTACGGATAAGCATGTTCTAACCTTACATACGATTTTATATGAGTCTTATAGCTATAGACAAGGAAATAAATACGGCCGTTTCTACCTAACTGATTCTAGATCTGCTGTATACAAAAAGCATCTTATCAATTTCTGCATTTCTATAGATACAAAATAATAAAAGATAGTTGACGGTATCTTGTATTGACCGGATGTAATTTGAGAAATTTTTCAAGAGCCGGATTCAGACTCTCGATTTTAATCCATTTGCGCGCACGTCCTCACAACTGCACTGTTAAAAGAACAATTAGTGCTATTTTGTGATTTATAATCTTGAGAGTAAATTTCTTTTCAATTGAAGGAAAAATTATAGCTATAATTATACACACAGGGTGTATAAAAAAATCGAGACCTTTAGAAATCAAGCTATCATTGTTGTTAAACACAAGATGTTACTGCTTCTGAGAATTTAATTAAAATAGCTTCTAATCCTATGAAGAAGGATTTTTTTTAAACACCCTGTAGATAGCTAATCCCTGTCAGCATGGACAATCTGTCCAGGAGTTGTTTGCGATTACTACAATCGTTGACAAACATTTGGGCGGTAAGACATCTGGCACCCACTTAACCCCTGCGCCCCCTTAACAATATTGTTTTATAATTACGGTATTGTATCATAAATATAGACAGTGTAATACGTTCTCGATGAAACTGTCATACTGAAACATGATGTCAAACGGCAACATTGCTTAGGGGAGGGGATATATTTGGCTATTCGTGAATCTTCATTTGGAATCATTGAATTCAATTATTCAAGTTGCCCGAACTTTGACATAGAGTTTGAGCAAGAAACGAAGCACGAAGACGAAGGCGTACTTGACAATTTTTGCCGTCTGCACATTATCCTGCGCATACTGAGTTGGACGTCACTGATTGTTGCTCAACGTGTCTTCCCATGTGTCACTGTTTATGAATACTGACCATAATTCTTGCCCTGACCCAGAAAAGAAAACAGCGTCTTTGTCCTTCTAACGAAGTTCACAACGAATTTTGTCAAAATATTCGTTGTGAACTAAGGAAGAAGAACGAAGACGGGATATGGATTCATGTCTCTCTGTTTTGTCCTGAATAGGGTAAGGATTTGGGTCAGCATTCATAAACAGCTACACATGAATCTCTAATCTGTCTTCACCCCTGACCCTCAACTCAGAATGCGTCAACCCGATGTCGTCGTCGTCGTCCGTTCTCTTGCTCAAACTCTCTAATGTTTTTCAAGTTGCTCGAACATGTTTTGTCAATGATTGTAATTTGTAGGTAAGAGTGGGGAGAATTTAATTAATAATGACAATGTGATTATACAGTAGCTATGTCAAATTTAGACACGGACTGTAAATTATACAGTGTATATAGGGTGTATTTTAAACGTATACAGTAATAACATTTCTGGCTCTGCAGTTCATGATGGATTTATATGTATAGTCAACGTATGTACGTTTTCCTGTTCTAGTTAAGGTTACAGAACACCTTTGAGTGTTAATTTTGCCTAAAATTTTTTTATTGGTTTCCATGAAAGCATTAGACTAGTTCTACTATCTGACCAAGTTTGGACGAAAAATGTTGAAAACTCGCAGTTATTTAATAAAATACATTTCGCTTGCAATAAGAAAAACATTGAAAATGTAATATTCAAATTTAATTTTCTCCCGAAGAATTTTACGGCAATTACTGATTTTTAAACGAGTTGTGCTCCTGCGGGTTTTAACGAATTTTTCTCAAATTTCCACAGGACATAGCTAAAGACGTCAGTTTCAAAATTGTGTTCGGCTTTGTTCTAATTTTGGATATTTTAATAATAAGGAGCAATTCACACAAACGATTCAGAAATATATTGCAGTCGTCAAAGAAATCGCCATATCAGCGGAATGACGAAATAAACAAAAATTTCCGAACACAATTTTCTAGAACAACTATTTTACTGTATAAAAATGATATTTTTATAAATATATCTTAAAACCAGCAGGAACATAACTCAAAAGCGTAAAGGTGCCGCGACTTAAGATTTTCCTGAATAATTCTTACATTATTTTATTGTTTGTGAATTTTACAACTTTATCATATTTTGCATGCACTGGCTAACATTTGGTGAAAATTTGATGAAAATCGGACTGATTTTGAGCGCGCAGTAGCGATTTTGCGCAAAACGCCAAAAAGGGTGTCCTGTAACCTAAAGTTTAATCTGTATTCTGTATTCTGTACCGTAATGATATAGCCTATATGTGTAGAGTTCAAAATGTCCCGCATGTTCGTTGCTCGGTTGTTACGGTTGGTATATGGCTTTTGTTCGTGAAAGCGGCTAGTTGTATATGGATTTGTTAATTTTGTTTGAAGTTCTTTGATTGGCGTCGGCTGACAATTAACCTCGTTTTTCCATTTTTGTTTTTAATTTTCGGCGAAAGCATTTACAAGATTTAGTGTGTTTTTCCCCTTCCCAACGCCAGAGGAAGCAACGTTTACTGCACACATATGCGGTAAATGTTTCTTAGTATGAACTCCAAAATGACAATGAATTTCACTTTGATAAACTGAAAATCTGAAACTTGATACTAATTGACAAAACGCGGTATGGTGCGATGAAAATAAAATTAATGCGAATTGAAATTGTCTGAGATATGTCACTCATAGTGTTACACAGCGGACAGAACCACACATATCCATACATTCTTCTAGTAGAATATATTAATTATATTCGAAATATGCCCATTTGCTTGCAACCCTATAATCATTCTTGGCCGACTTTGTTACCTCTTGGCTAATAATTTTGAAATAATTGAGAATTGTTACTTTTGTTTCTACACAGGTCAGAACAGTTCAATCACTGCAAGCAATGTACAAGCCCGACAAAATAACAGCTCCAGTGTCAGTGCTTTCCATGAAATCACTGGAACAATATCCAAAACATCTACGGCATTATCAAGTGGGAAGACATCCTCTTCTCAGTCCGTGATGAGTACAACCAACCCTCCAAACAAAACCAATTTTAAATATAGCACGTCAGCATTACTTCAACCCACGTCATCTAAGCTTCCATCAACATCTTCTTCCACAGTAAGGAATATACGTGCCGCATTTTCATCTTACTCGCACACTCCTACCAAAAGTTCAGAAATGTTTATATCCTCTACTTCCGTGGTAAACTCTTTTGTTTTCACAACTTCTTCTAATTTTAGCTTTCCTACCACATTCATGTCTTCCACTTTTCATAAAGTCAGCAATTCGTCGTCAACTGATAGCTTAACTTCCTCTTCAAGACGCAGCAATTCTGTACCAGCTACATCTTCTGTTAATTCATCTACAGCTGAGTTGTCTAATACTACATCACATTTTTCTCTTCCATCTGCAATGTTTTCCACATATCAAGGCGTTCATTCATCTTCAACTCATTTATTGTCTTCGCCAATGGAAGGCAATGTTACTCTAACTATTCATTCATCCACATTAATATCCTCTTTCCCTCCAAGAAGTTCTTCATTTTCTTCTTCAACGTTATTTCCAAGTACGCTCACTCTATTTTATACAAGTATGGTTGTTACTAAAACAATTGGGAATACCACCATAACGCCGTCAAGTCGTGAATTATCTGCGGATCATTTAAGTTCTTTTACAAAGGAAATACCTTCCACTTCGTCTGTATCTGCAATGTTTTCTACATCTCAAGGCGTTCTTTCGTCTTCAACTAATTTATTATCTTCGCCAATGGAAGGCAATTCCAATCTAACTATTCA